TAAAGATTTCAAATCCGAACACCCAGTACGCGTTCTCACGTACAGGCACGCTTGCTGAACAGCCAGCCAGGTCATTTTCACAGAACGACCATTAAACGGAAATTGTTTTTTTCCCTTATGCAAAATTTGCGATGATTTGTGCTAGTGAACGCAAAAGATAGATGGAACAAACATTAATGCAGTTAACGAAATGAGCACTTCAAATCTAGTAAAAAAAACATAATCGCCCCGACAAGCCTGGTACATTTCAGCCTGGGTTATTTATTTCAATTTAGCACTAGTACCTTTGCCAAAATTGGCTTACATAGTTTTGAAATATTTGAAAATATCAAACAAAAAAGACACTGGAATGATTTCTTCGGAGCAATTAATTTTGGTCGATATGTCATCACTAGTTGCAATTCTGATTTAGGGCACGTGTTGGGTTTGTTTCACGAACAGGCGCGTTTCGATCGCGATAATTATGTTCAAGTTGTGCATACAAATATCGCTTACGAATACGCTGGACAATTCGTAAAGCAGTCCCTGGATACAATCAATCCGTTTGGCGTAGATTACGACCTTGGATCAGCGATGCATTACGATCAGTTTGTCGGCTATAATCAAATATTGATAATTGCTCGCAGAACTAAAAGCCTCCTTAATTTTCAAATATTTTCAGTCCTACAAAAGTAAAGCCTGGTATAGCTTTAATATAGTGGTCAGATTTTTACAGCTCGACTTGTTAGAACCCAAACCCAATCTGAAATCCAAACCCAAGCTGCAACCCAAAATTTCAAAATTTAAAGCCAGCTGTTTTCAGAATTGTGACTACGCGTACGGCTGGCAAATTTGTCAACATTTTGCTCGTGAATTATGAGAATTGCTTGAATTTGGGCCTGAGGTCAAGAGTCAGGGTAGGAGGGAAGGACTTTGCTTTGAAAATTTCAGTTTCTTACTTATCGTAGACCCAGAGTAAAAATGTCTGGTCAGACAACAGGCAGAAAGCGCACCTGCACTCGCTTTGACAGGGTTTTTTGCTGGCGATTCATAAACGTGCAAAAGCCCCCGGAAAATACAGGGTTCAAATTGTTAAAGTTCAGATGCTCCCTACACTTTAAAGATTTCCTACTCCCAGTATTTTGAAAAAAATGTAATATGATTAATAAATTCGATACGGAGTATGTGCACGACCTGAAAAACATGTGTGCGAATTCACGGAGTGCGACCGAAAAGAAATGTATACGACTTCATGGATCGAAATTTTCTTCCAATTTAAAATTCCACTTTTCCTATATAGAAAGTTTAATTGTTTAAACAGCTTGTTGTTCATAGACTCGCATTAGCAATAATCTGGAAAATCTCCCCGTAGAAAAATTGTGCAAATATTGCCCTATGTTCTTTTCATAACTCTTTACTTACCTTTCCATCTTTCTCTAATTCTGATTTTAGTTCTAG